TTTCAATATGGAGATCGAACCTAGGGCCTTGTGTATACTAGGGAAGTGCTCTATCACTGCTCTATACCCCTAGTCCTTTTATGCTTTATTTTGAGACAAGTTCTTGCTAAGTAGCTTAGGCTTGCCTGAGACTCATGATCCTCATGCTTCAGTCTTTAACTACATTGTTAGAGAGAGAGAGAGAGAGAGAGAGAGAGAGAGAGAGAGAGAGAGATGTGTACAGGTGCATGTGCCTATGTACCTACAGAGAGATCTTTTAGAATAAAGAGGCACAGAGGTCAACGTCTTCCCCTTTCTGGCTGGTGGGAGGTAAACAATTCTCCTTGTCTCTCAGAAGGATGCAGCACCTAGAACCCCCTCCCTCAAACCTGCAGTGTGGACAGGGCAAAGATTGAGCAAGGAATCCCCAGTAACAGCCTCTGGGGGTTCTCTGGAGTGTCTGAAAGCTTGCAGGAAGTGTGCTGGCTCCAGGAGGAAGCCACTGCACCCTGGAGAAGAGGTCTTAAGCAGTAGCTCCAGTCATAGCAGACAGGCTAAGTAGCGACAGTGGCTCCCTGAGTACTGCCCCCCATGCCAGGGCCTGATGCTGCTTGATGCCTGATGCCTGATGCAGGGACAGGGCTGGGTATGGGGTTCCCTACCTACAATCAGAACTCCCTGGGAATTCATGACTCAGCCTGGGTTTTTTGATGGCTACTGCTTTTTTTCCCTTAAGACACTGGCTTTTGTCTGTGCCCTCCTGTCTGCCAAGCCTGTACCACCCACTGGAACTTCCTGCAGCCTCGAGGGGTTGAAGAAGAAGGGGTTTGGCAGCTGCTGCCAAAGTCACCAGGCTTTGGCCTGATGCAGCCTCCACCATTTTATCCAATGTTCACCACTGCCTCTTCTGAGGATGGTCATGTAGGACACCCCATTTATAGAGGAGAAACTGAGGCTCAGAGAAGGAGCTGGCTGCCTAGGCATAGTGCTCGCCTTGTAGTGCCTTTCTACTCTGCTGTCCCTTCTGCCGAGGTCCCTCTGAGCCCAGAGCTGGGAGTCATGGTGACACTGCGTGGACTGGGCCCCTGAGAGCCTAGTCTTGACACTGACTAGTTGCACAGCCTCACCTCTTCCAGCCTGCTCTCACTCATAGTGGGGTGAGGCATCCACATCCTCAGAGCCACTGCAAGTTACCTTCCTAACACCCACTTCCAGAGTTCACCTTTGGCTGACTGAAAATACTTTTGCAAGCCCTACAAGGATGGGCGGGATAGACTGTTAATCTTGTCATTTTACTATTAGGAAACTGAGGCCCAGGAATGTTCAGAGGCAGTGTCCTAAAAATAGCCCTGGAATTGCATGACTGGTTTGCTACCATCACTGTGCCTACTTGGTGGGTCACTCTGAGGGACAAGTGGCTTGCTCAGACCCCAGCACCAGTGATCCACCCTGGGGTCTGATGACAAAGACTCCTATTATTCTATTGCAAAATTCTTTCTTCTGGATTAGAAACTATGAGAGAAAACTTTTTTTTTTTTAGGAGCAAAGAGCAATGAACAACAATTCTTTTTTTATTTCTTAGAATAATTTCACGACCTAGGCTAAGGGGTGCTAGAGGACTGGGCTTCTAGCCCAGCTTCTAGAAAGCTGGATGGGCTTGATTTGCATCGCACATTATCGGGTGTGTTAGCTGCCGCTGAAGCTGCTGCTCACTCATTAGACTCACCTAGCAACTTTCTCTTTTAGTGCCACATTGCTCGTATGGCCAGAAAAAAAAAGTCACAATGCATGTGCCGAAAGAAGAGAGCCGCATCTGGGAATGCCTTGGTGCAGATGCCTGGCTTGTCAGAAGCAAGGGACTTATTTGGGCTCGTCTTGGCCAAACTGGGACCCACCTGACCCTGCATTGTGGTGACACAGCCAGCCCTGTCACCACATGGGACCTGGAAGATGGGCTGTATTTCATGGCCTAGGGATGAGAGCTTGGACCCAGGTTAGGGGACACTGGGGGACAAGTCGGGTCTCAAAGCTGTCCTCTGCAATTATTTTAGAAGAATCCATCCTGGACTTGAAGAGTTCTGGAAAGGTGACCTGATAAACAAGCTTTGATGGGACAAGTCACTGGTGAGGAGTCCTTGGAAATGTCACTTCTCTTCCCTGAGCCTTCCTTTCCTCCTCTGAAACGGGCTCATGCAAACCAAATGGAGCCTGAGAAAAAGCACCTGCCGAGTGCTGTGAAGAGGCCATGAAGTCACAGGGAAGTACTGGAGGTCACAGGGATGTATCAGTGGTCACAAAGATGTATCAGAAGTCACAGAGATAAGTTAATGGTCACAGGGTTGTACCAGTGGTCACAGGGATGTATGAGAGGTCACATGAATGTATCAGAGGTCACAGGGATGGATCAGAGGTCACAGAGATATATCAGCAGTAACAGGGATATGTCAGAGGTCACAATTGTAACTGTGCTTGTAAATGATATTTAACAGTGAGATATTCATGAACATAAAAGAAAGCAGTGAGATAACAATGGCAATCATTGTGCCCCACCTTCAGATGGGGAGCTTGGGGGAACTACAGTTAGGGAACTACTGCCACCCAAGCTTTTTCTTTCATCTAAGTCATCAAAGTTTGACTCAAAGGAAGGAGGCAAGATTACATACTATCCCCTCATAGACCCAGGCTCAGCCTCCTGTTCTTAACCTCCAGTGTGCTCTTTCCTGGAGTCTGGGCAGTTTGCTAAGATTCAAATTGTCATCTGTTGGCCTGGGGCAGGGCCTGATACTCTGCATTTCTGGCAGTCTCCCAGGTGATGTCTTGGCTCTGGGTCCTCGGATCACATCTTCAGTACCAATGGCTCAGAGTACAGATCCCAAAGACTATCACAGGGCCTTGTACAGGCTAAGCAAGTGCTTTACCATTGAGCTATATCCTCATCCTTGTGTTTTTTTCAGACAGGTTCTCACTCTGTAGCCCAGGATGACCTTAAACTTATGATCTTCCTGCCTTAGCCTTCCAAGCAGGGGGATTACAGGTGTCGTGTGTGCCACAACATCTAGCCCTCAAACATCCATGAAGAGAGGGTCCTTTTCTTAGTGGAAGCCTTCTTCATTTCCTTGCAGAACTTACAAGATGCAGTCCATTGCGGGATTCAGAGTCAAGTGGAGGAACTTAAATTTCTGGGTTCAAATTCAAGTTTTGTTATTTTCTATTTTATAAAAAAATTATTGATTTACTTATTTTGTGTGTGTATGTGCTAGTGTGTGTGCATGCATGCCACCATGTGCATATGAAGGCCAGAGGAAAACTAGTGGAAGTCATTTCTGTCCTTCTGCAATGTGGGTCCTGAGGACTGAACTCAGGTAGTCAGCCTTGGCAGCAAGTGCTTTTATTTGATGAGCCATCTTTCCAGCCTTCTATTTTTTCATATATATATATTTTAATATATAATTTTTTAATTTACTGTTTTTATTTTATGTGTATGCATGTATTGCCTGCATGTAGGTAAGTGCAGCCGTGCCATACAATACCCGCGGAGGACAGAAGAGGCTGTCAGATCCCCTGGAACTGGAGTTTCAGACAGTTGTTAGCTGCCGTGTGGGTGCTGGGACTTGAACCCAGGTCTTCTGCAAGAACTGCTGAGCCATCTCTCCAGCCCCCTATTTTTTCTTTTATTTTGCGTGTGTGTGTGTATTTATGTGCATATATGCATGTGTGTGTATGCATGTGTTTGGAGGGAAAAGGTCACTCCTCAGGAACTGTCCACTTTGATTTTTTGGAACAGGGTCCCTCACTGTCAAAGAACTTCCTGATCAGGCTAGGTTGAGCAGCCAGCGAGCCCCAGGGATCTGCCTGTATCTACCTCCTAAGCACTGGGATTACAACAAGTGCATACCACCACTTACAGGCTTTTTAAAAATGTGAGGCCAGGCGAGGTGGCGCACGCCTTTAATCCCAGCACTTGGGAGGCAAAGGCAGGTAGATCTTTGTGAGTTCGAGGCCAGGCTGGTTTACATAGTGAGTTCCAGGACAGCAGGAGCTACAGCAATACCATCTCAAAAAAAAAAAAAAAAAAAAAAAAAAAAAAAAAAAAAAAGGGGAGGGGTCTGGGAATTGTACTCAGGTCCTCGTATGACAAGTGCTTTATTAGTTGAGCCATCTTCCTGGCCCCCAGCTCTTCTCCTTTCTAGTTCTGGGACCTTGGGCTAGGTTCTTGATCTCCTTGTGCCTCAGACTCCTCATCTTTTAAGTGGGGAAAATGAAATGTGTGTCACATGGCTGTCGTGAGGATGATAGAGATGGAGAACATAAAACACTTTTAGCAGTGCCTGACTTCATACAGAATGATGATCAAGAAATGCAAAGTTCATCATCTTTTCTATGAGTTTTGGTTGCAGTTTATAAGTGAACAAGCCCTTTTTCTGGAACTGGCCAGCAGGGATGGCACCTGCATGCTGTCTCCTAGGGGAAGCGGGTGCCACTTCCTGGTTCCTTCTCCCTCAGCCGTGGGTTTACTCATGTTGGTTCTTTCTGTCACCTCTCAGCCACCCCTCTCTGCTGCTTGACACCTCCCACAGCCCCAGCTGTCCTCCTTCCTCCTCCCGGGCCTGAAATAAACTCACACCAGAATTAGCAACTGCCTGCAGAGGCACCATGTGCAGCCCCTGACAGCTCCGGGTGCTTGCTTTCGTTGGTCGTTCGTTGCTTGGAAGGCAGGTGGGTTGACCCGAAGTATAGGGCAGAGGATGAGAGGACAGGGTGGGACAGGGTCTCCATGCTCTGCAGGAGGGGTGGGGAGTCAACTGCAGAATGGGTAAGAAACCTGTCCAGAATGCAGTGATGCTTCTGTTCCTTGCCTTGGCTTCTCTGGCAACATTCTTATAGCAGAACCTTAACAGCCTTGAGAATCCAGGTGCACAGCCTGAGTGGCTATCATTGGACCTAACTGGGGACAGGGGTGATACCTGAGCATGAAGGAGAATGGAGATCCTCCATCTTCTAAAGGCATGGAGCAAGAGGTTGCAATTCCTCCATGCCTTTGTGTGTGGGGAGGACTGATGGGGACCCAGGGACATGGGTAGCCACCTTCAACAGCCACCCCAGGGGCAGTTAGTACAGAGATCCACAGATGCCACAGCCCAGGCTCCAGCAAGACACACCAGTCCACAGCAGAAGGACAGACTAGGCCCAAGTCCCACAAGTCCTGCTACCTACTAGCTTAGCAAGAGAGGAGAGGAGATTGAGAAAGGGAGGTCTACTTGGGCTCAGCCATGTTACACATGGAGTCAGGGGGTTTTGAACCCTAGCCTGGGGCCCCATCTCCAGGAAAGTTTAGGGGAGGCTTTGGAGCCTTTCTATGGAACCAGATGCTGGCTTCTTCTTAGTTCCCCAGCTCAGGCCATATTCCTAAAGCCAGAGTCAGGAGCATGCTTAGAGGTAGGCCACACCGAATGGGACACTGCTTCTTGTGGGGCCAGGTCATTCTACTCTGGGTTCCCTGAGTGTCCTGAGGCCTTATTGAAGCCAGCACTGTTTCGGTAGTTATAAGCAGGTGTGGAGCTGACTGTCCCGGCTGGTCATAGTTCCATTCTTTTTTTGGAAGGGGGTGACAGGGTCTCCCTGTAGCCCCAGCTGGCCTGGAATTCACTATGTAGACCAGGCTGATCTAGAATTTACAGAGATCCACCTGCTTCTGCCCCTCAAATGCATGGTTCCATTCTTAAGAGCCTGCCCCATGTGGGAGATAGAGTGTCCCTGAGAGGCCCATGAGTGTCAGAGGTCTGTGTGACTCAGGACAGGGGAAGCCCCGAACAAGGGGAGAAGGAGAAGACACCAAGCAACCCAGACCCAGAGCTTGCTGTGGAGACGTACCATTGACTAGGCTGGCATTTGCGCTACCTGCAGCGTTTGCAGCTGCTGTGCCGTCGGCTGCTGTGGGAAGTGGGAGGGATGGAAAATGCAGTGTCACAATGGAGAAGACGATGACAGAGACATGAACCCACCAAGGGACAATCACACAACTCTATTCTTTAAAAAATAAAAAAATCTCTTGATGGGGAGTGAGGAACTCAAACTGGGGAGTGGGATGAAATGTTCCTATGGAGATGTTACAGGGGAGGGGTGGGGATGGGGATTCAGAAGGGAGGGGCTGTGAGGTACAGCATGGGGCATGGTCAGGTGCTCAGGTGAGATGACACTTTTCTGTGGTGACATCTGGATCCTGTTGGCCCAGGTAGTCAGGTGGGGTGCCCTATGGGATGAAGAGGTCCTGTCAGGGACCCATGACCAGGAGTCAATACAGACTTCTCAGCAAGTGGCACAGTGTGGCCTCGACACTCAGAAGGCGCTGTCCCTGTGTCCCCATGGAACAGCTGCCAATGGTGGTGACTTAGAGTCAGACAACTTCTCACCACTGCTTCCTCCTTCTGTGACCAGCCTTCCAAAAATCACTATTAGTAATCCCTGCATGAGGTATCTCACCACAGAGGGGGTTTCTAGCATGTTTCATTTTATACACAATAAAACATACCAGAGAGGTATTTCTTAACTTGGAAATTAAGACTGATATGAAATGACCATTTTGATCCCTGCAGCTCTTTCTCATGGTGGGGATAGGGCTCTGTGGAGAAGAGGAAGGGACCCTGCTGGCTGAGGTGGACATGTTGTGTGCTAGGGACAGGAGCTGAGATGGCTCTGTGGGGTGCTGGTGGGGGTGAGGGGGTGTTATGGTGATGAGAGGCACTGCATGCCAGTGTTGGGGTCAGGGGCAGATACTGGAGGTGTCATTTGGCCTTGGGCCTAGGGACAAGAGGCCAGAGTAAGGTTTTGTCTTGTCCTGCTGGGCTGGCATACAGGAGGGCACAGAGGAACATCTGGAGGGCAGAGCCTCCAGCAGGCACATGGTCTTCTATAACTGTGCATTGCTGATCTAGGGGCAAGGCCTAGGGGCCCACGGCTCAGCTGTTTCTAGAAGCCCATCTTCCCTGAGGGGTGTCTTACTGTACCTGGTAGCTGAAGGCAATCCCCCTTCTTCACACCTGTGTGATGATTTTTGAGACATGTTAATGAAGGAGAAGCACACACAGACTTACACACACACACACACACACACACACACACACACACACACACAATACACACTGCACGGAGGGTCATCCTGAAATAAGAACTCATGCTTGGCAAACTCGAAGTTATGTCTGAGGCTGACATAATGGGATGGGAGGGCCAAGGAGTCCAGCTCTGGCTCAGTCACTCATGGTGGCCTGAGATGCTGGACTAGCGACACATCCTTTGTATCCTACTTTGTCTCTCTACACAGAGTCAAGTGTTCCACCTCTCTGTCCACCTAGATTCAGGAAGGGACCCTGAACAATTGTCAAGGTGCCTCTCAGGCTTATCTTTCTCTTGGCATTGTCAGATGCAGGACTGGTCTGTTGGAAGTTCTGGGTGCATGTCCCCAAGCTGGACCCCCACTGAGATAAGAACATAGGCCCAAAATGCTGTAATCTACCAACTGTCCCACTGCCTGCACTTGGCTGGCCTGGATACCTTGGCCAAAGGTCCTCACTCATGCACAGACCTTGTTCTAATGCCCTCTAGAACTCCCAGTCCCATTTTGAACTCAGTCCCAGCTTGCTCGCTCCTAGATAACAGCTCAGCTCCACTGTTCCAGCTGGGCGTTGGAGGAGTGGCCATGATGTTAAGGGACATACTAAAAGGGGTTCTACCCTTAGGTACTGGCTGCCTTCCATCCTGACACAGATTCTGTGCCCCAGTGACCTCTGATCTTGGATGTAATGAAGCTGCCTGAACTTGGAGAGGGTCACCTACCCTCTTAATAACTTTCTCCCAGGCTTCCAAAGGTCTGAGTGTTGGGGACCCTACTCTGGAGCTTGGGGAAGGAGACAAAGACTGACAAGTCTGAAAGGGGACTGCCCCTGAGACTAAGCATGGGTGTCAGGTAAGAAACTGGCTGTTTTGGGATTTGGGTCTGGGTGATGGGGCTCGGGGCTTCTTGTGAGATTATTTCTTGTGAGATTGCATCACAGACTGCCACCTACTACACTGAGAGGCACCAAGAACAGGGAGATGGAACCAGGACTTGGGCAAGGTGGCAGCTGTGGGGGAATCAGAGTTGCACACATGGAACCAGCTTTCAGTCACCTTCCCAAGAGTCTCCTCTGCCTGTGCCTGGCACTGGCCCATGATGGATAGACTGTTATCTCTGATTGGTGGAATTGACAATGGCAGAAAGAACATGTCTGGCCTTCAACTCAGTACTGAGGTGAGGGTGAGCCAGCTCTTGCTGGCTGCCTCTACTGCAGAACCTGAAGATTGAATGACATACCAAGCATCTCGGGCCTGGTCTGGAGGGGAAGGAGGGGCCTCTGTGACATGACTGGACAAGACAGAGACTGGGACAGGACCCTGGAGATGGAGCAGACAGAACCCACTATGCTTGAGCAGGACCTGGAGGACCAAGGAGGCAGCTGTCTGTGCAGGGCATGGATGTAGAAGGCACTCTATATTATGGAGTGAACAGACAACAAAAAATGCGGCTTTAGAAGCTCCTTTTCTGGTCTGCAGTATGTGTGTGTGAAGCTTACCTTTTTTATCTTTCTTCTCTTCCTCTTCACCACCAGCCCCCAGCAGAGTAAAGATGATGCCAGTCTGAGAGTTCACACCCACAGCAGTCACCACCATCCGTCCTGAGCCCTCCATCACATGGGTCCCTATGGAAGAGGATATAATCTCTGTTACCATCACACAGCCAAAGCCTCCTCATCAAAGGAATAGAAGGAGCCAGTCTCCACCAGTTCCTAGCACCTTGCCCACTGAGATTATAGGGTGGTACACTCAGGTAGTAGCCATATCGTGGGCGTGGTGAGTCCTTTTAAGATGCTGCTGCCTCATGAAGGCTGAGTTGGACCTGGGGCAGGATTGCTGTTGCCCTTCGGTTCTCTATTCCCCAGCATCTCCAAGCCCAACACTTTCTACCCTAGAGGTCACCTCCTGCGTGTCTTTGTCTCCCACTTCCTCTCTTACCCTTATAGTCCAAATAGGGAGCACTCTCTCATCTTATGGAGAGTATTTAGAGGCAGACCTCATTCTGTAATCAGGAAGAAATGGGAACTAAGCCCCAGAGAGGACTGCTAAGAACCAGCTCAGTTTCCCTCCAGAAGGAGGCTTCAGGGATCTGTGAATGTGGATGAAACAACAAAAGCAAAACAAAACCATATGTAGATTTTCATAAACCTCAAGGCAAAATTTAGCATTTTCCCCTAGTGTGAATAATGAAGGGCAGTAGCAATTCTGCTTCTTATTACCAGTAACACAACACACAGTTTTACACACAGTATAAACACTACAGGGTTTTTCCCATGTAATTTTACAGCTGTGGCAGATGTTATTGACAGTAACCCTTCTTTTACAATAGGTTGGCAATTTATCTTCTGACTGGATTTTGTTTTTGTGCAACCTAGGAGCACAGAAATTACAATACTACACATTTTTTGTTACTATTTTATTTCAGTATAACTGTTTTTTGTAGTGATCCTGTGTACTTGATGACTTCCAAACTTTATTCTGAAGAGTGGCATACAACGACAGACTTCCTGGGGTAGCTATGCTGTAAGAAATGGCCAGGTCTCTTTCCTAGAATTTTATTATTATTATTTTAATTAATTAATTATTTTTATTTTATGTGTATGAGTGTATTGTCTGCATGTGTGTGTAAGTGCACCCGTGTCATGCAATGCTGTGGAGGTCAGAAGAGGGCATTGGATTCCCCTGGAACTGGAGTTACAGATGTTAGCTGCCATGTGGGTGCTGGGAATCGAACCCAGGTCCTCTGCAAGAGCAGCCAGTACTCTTAACCATCTCTCCAGCCCTTTATTGTTATTAATATTATTATTGTAATATCATCATCATCATTATGATTATTATTTGTGGTACTGGGGATTAAACCAGGACCTTGTGCATGATAAGCAAGTGCTCTACCACAGAGCTCCATCCCAGAACATGCTGGCCTTAAACTTACTATGTATCTGAGGATGACCTTACCCTGATACTAATTCTGATTCACCCTCTGTTAGGGCCCGGTTGGTTTCTGCTAAGGTGGAAATAAATCATATGACGGCTAGGGGTCATACTTTGAATCTTCTGGCTCTACCTCCCATGTTGGGATTGCAGGCATATGCCATTAGCCTGGTTTATATGGTGCTGGAGATTGAACCCAGGGCTTTGCACCTGCTAGGCAAGCACTCTACCAACTGATCTACCTCCTAGCCTTTTTGTGTTTTTAAATTTTGAGATGATATCTCACTAAGTTGCCCAGGCTGACCTTGAATTCACTCTAGTTCAGGCAGGACTAGAACTTGTGATCCTCTTGCCTCAACTGCCTGAGTAGCTGTGATATAGGCCTGTGCCATCACATACAGCTCTTTGCCCAGAATTTTAAGTTTTTCAAAATGAGTTCCAATAGGCCACAGAATTCTTGAGGGTCTGGAAGGGCAACTGTCAGGGTGAAGTGGCTCTACGTTTAGTAAATTTTTGGATCAGCCTTAGTTTGACAAGTCTTGTTTTGCTGGAAGGCAGGCCCTCTACTGCACAGGCTCAGAGAACAGCTCACTCTAGACCACAAGGGGAACCTGTGACAGAGTGAGGAAAAGCTGTAAAAGCAGAAGCTACATATAGTGGCACATGTCCATCGTCCCAGCACTTGGGAAGTGGAAGAAGAAAGGAGGATCAGGAGTTCAAAGTCATCCTCAGTTCAAGGTAATTCTGAGTTACATGGTGAATTTAAGACCAGTCTGGACTTCATGAGACCCTGTCTTAGAAAATAACATGAAAAAACAAAGGCAGGAACAGTGTCTCTGTGCAGTGGAGTGTCACTCAGCCTTCAGGAGATGGTGATGCTGACATACACTGTGACAGGGATGAAATCTGCGGACACTATGCTACAGGGAACCAGCTAGTCACAAGAAGACTATCAACTCCATGTGATTCCAAATTCAGAGAGACAGGAGAGTGGGGGATGCCAAGGCCTGGGGGTGTTTGGAGAACTGGATTTTCATGAGATCAGACTAAACTTTGGCTAGAGAATATGGGAAGGCTCTGGAGGTTTAATAGAACAATAGTGGCAGCCCAGGAAGTAGACCACAGCTATGCACACAGTCAGCAGGGAGGTAGTCAGGTGGCCACTGCCCTTTGTCCTCCAGCCAATTCTGGAATATCCACACCTGCTCCCTAGGGCTGTCCAGCATAGTGCTTGGGGTACCTGCTTGGTTTGTGTGGCTGGGAGGAGGGGGTTGACTATCTCAAAAGATGAATGAGGACTCTGAGTCCCCATGGGACCGAATGCTCTCTGATTTCACAAGGAGAAAGCAGCACATGTGGCCACAGTCTGAATGTAGAAGGCCTTCTGAACCCCAGGAAAGCTTCAGAACACCTACTCTGTGCACCAGGGACAGTTTCTGAATACCTGCTGTGTACCCACACTGTGCTACTCCCCCCACCCCCCACAGTAATTACAGCAGTAATCTTAGTGCTCAGCACTCACACTGGGGAAACTAAAGCCAGGAGGGGTGAGATGGCCTGCCTCAGATTCCCCTGCTGGCGATGGGCAGAGCCAGGCTTCAAACTCTGTCTCTTTAGCCCAGGATTTTGGTCACAGGCCATTTTGTCCCAGGGATTAAATAAGGCCCTAATGGCTTGCTCTTAAACATACAGAAAAGGCTGGTTAGGAAATGACTGTGCTGGTTGTGGGCCTGGAGGCCACAGGGAGGCTGTTCTCCACCTGCTCAGTAGAGGCAGGATGGAAAAAGATATGGGGGCCAATTTCCACCCAAGATAAGCAGGACTCAAATCACCTTCTAATCAGATGATGCCCATGGCCACAGGGGGCTGGCAGCGCCTGTAAGCTGTGCAGTTAAGTGGGAGGCAGAGAGGAGGGGGCATGGCACAAAGCTTACTAGACGTGGGGAACCCCCAGGGACTCTTCAGGCTAGCACTGGATAGAAGCAGAGGCTTTTGAGGACATGGCCTCTGTCTCCCCTGTCACCCTGACAGTGCCCCCAGTTCAGACAACAGCCCAGGGCTTAGCTGGCTCTCTAGGATCCCTGTGATGCAGTCAGAGCCCCTGGATCAGATCCTGGTCTTCTGCGCTTGGCACTATGATCCCTGTCACGTGACTACAGATCCTGGCGTGCACAAGGCTTGCTGGCTTCTGAGTCCAGCCCCAGACTTCAATACCACACAATCACCACCAACTTCCTCTCACCTCCTGCTCCACACATCTTCCTCAAGGCTCTGGATGAATGTCTCTCCCTTCCTCCCTTCAGAAAGGAACTTCATCTATCTCATCTCTTCCCTGGGGGTGCTTCTAGGCCTGGCTCTCCCATGAGACTGTGGGCCTATCAAGGACAAGGACTACATATGAGTCTCCCCTTGGTATCTGAAGCCCAGTGAGACTCAGGGATCTGACTCTAGCACCTCTCCCTTCCGCCTCCATTTCTGCTTTCTATAGTGGGCATGTGTTATAGGCACCACAGAAAATGACCCCTCTTAACTCATCTTGCTGCCCTTGCTCCCCTGCCTCCTTGGACCCAACAGCCCAGGTATCTCCTGTTGGAGGAGGAGCAGAGGGCTCAGGCTGCCATAGCCCAGCTCCAGGAACCTCTCATAGGTGATACTGACACCCAGGGCTGAGATTCCAACTCGGACAACAAGTGCTTAAGTCAAAGGTCAGTGGAGTGAATCTCCAGAGGAAAGTCACAGGATCATTGGGGAGGGGCAGGAGTTAGGTAGAAGGTGAGACCTTGGGCTCTGAATCCCCACCTCTTCCAACTTCCCAGAGAACCCCTCAGAACACAAGCATTGGGCAGCAGATGAGACCTGGGCTGAGGAACTCACCTGGGCTGTGATTCTGATTTGCCGGGTGACAAGTCCAGTTCCTATCCATTCTGGGCCTCACTTGTGTCCTCTGTAAACTGGGGGGTCACTAGCTCTCAGCAGGGCTGCCTGGACCCCAGAGTCCCAGGTAGATGAAGGCTGTGCCTGGCAAGGAGTGGGAGTACTCTCTTCATCACCCTCTTGGGACAAAGAGAAGACTGGATCCTTCTGAGATACATGGGTATCTCAGATGTCAACTCTATGCTAGGCTCTGGGGCTGTAGGAGGGTACCCTGGAACCTCTGCCCCCAGCTCACAGACGGGTCTACAGAGCAATAATAACACAGAGAGAGCAAGTGAGGGCCTGATGGGCTGGCAGGGGGCATAGTCCAGGCAAAGGAGGGGAAAGAAGAGGCTAGGGCCACAGCAGGGACCATGTGGTTTGAGGCTCAGGCTTACACCAGAGGAGTGGCTGAGCACAGGGTGATAGTCTGGTCTTCCTTTGCTCACTGTTGGATAATGAGTCATTGAAAGCACTTAAAGAGGGGAGGGAGGAGAAGGGATATTAACTAAGAACCATTTGTCCCACCTTGAGTCACTGGGGCTGAGGCCAACACAGTCCCTTTGCAAGCAGGACAGTGATTCACAAAGATGAGTCCACCTTCATCTTTGGTTCTGGCCAGCTGTCTGGGGGTTATGGTAACTTTGGGTCATGGGAAATGGGGGTACACTGAACCCTCGAGGGCAAAGTTAGATGAGATTCATTGTATAGATGGGAATTCTGAGCTCACAGATGGCAGGTGACTGAGGTTGAACAGGTGCTGTGTGACAATCAGGCCCGG